TCTGGACCTCTGTGCTCTTCACTGGTCCTTCTCTGTATCTGGGTTCCAGTTCAGTTGGGTGATTAGTTATGGGTGTCTGCTTCTACTTCCACCAGCTGCTAGATGAAGGCTATAGGATGGCATATAAGTCAGTCATCAATCTCATAATCAGGGAAGGGCATTTAAGGTAGCCTCTCCTCCATTGCTGAGATAGTTAGCTGGTGTCATCTTTGTAGATCTCCAGACATTTCCCTAGTGCCTGATTTCTCTGTTAACCAAAAATGTCCCCATCTATTATGATATCTTGCAACACAAGTATCAGATGGTCAAAAACAAAGTAAAAGTGAACCCAGGAAATAATGTGGGAGAATTTCATTGTACTTTTGAAGTGGGAAAATTATGTCTAAGCATGGTACAAGGCTTTGAAGCCTGTTGAAAATAGATTCACAATTTTGACAGCAATGCGAGCGTGCGTGAATGCACGCATTCACACTTCTTTTCAATAGCAATAGCACATGCAAAATGACCAGGAGAATTGTTTGAGGAATCTTAACAGCACAAAATAGTTGATAAACATCTAGTTCCCTTGAAATGTGTCAGCATGTATGTCGTAGCTACTTTTCTGTTGCATTGCTAACACACCATGACAAGGTAACTTAAGAAGAAAGCGTTTATCTGTCTTGAAGTTTCCTGAGTATATGACTGTCAAGGCAGGCAACATGGCAGAGGTGGGCAAGCTTGGCACTGGAGCAGTAGCTGAGAGCTTATATCCTGATACACAGACACAAGGAAACACAGAAAAAGAGCTAACTGGGACTAGCATGGAGTTTTGAAACTTCAAGCCCACTGACAATGACACACCTTCTTCAACGTGGCTATACATTCTAATCCTTCCCACACAGTTCCACCAAGCATCTAATATATAAGCCTTTGGAAGCCATTCTCATTCAAACCATCACATAGTACAGATCAATGAGAAAAGAATCAGCTATCCAGATAACGAAAATTGGATAGAAGATATGGCTTTAAAATAAATAATAAATAATTGCAAGTAGTTTTTCAAAGGTAGTTACAAAACTACAGAGTTTTAAAATAACACAATTAAAATTATAACAAAGATTAAAGACAGTGCAATTATGTTTGTCTTATTCACTTAACAAATAATCAAAAGGTCTAAACTGGAAGGAGAGGAAGCAGACATTCTTGGACATGGTGGAAGGGACTCTACCTTGGGATCATGTTATATTCATCAGGACATGGAGACTTCTGTTGAATCTTCAAAACTGGAAGACAAATGGCGAGCAAACAGGTGCTGAGAAGGCACTGCACAGAACTGCATTCGTGAAGCCAAAGATACAAAGGAGGCTCAAGAAAGTTGGAGATGCCAGCAATATGGAACCCCTGCCAAAGAAAGCTGTTAACACATATAACTTTTAAAGTCTACATTCAGTACAAATCATCAAAATCAGTGTGTAGAGTTTTGGATTTTCAATAATGGGGATTATTACAATTGCATGTCTAACTTTTAAGTAAAGCAATAAGTGTATGCATATATTTGTAGCTATGTACTTTTTATCTAATGATCATCATTATTCTCAATGTTACAATTATTGATGAATATTGACTAAGTCTGGAAGATTCTAAGACTAAGTTTGGAAGATTCAAAATGGTGATATCCTTTTTCTGTCTTTGCAATTGGATTTTGCTTAATGCTGTTTGATCTACTCTGTCAAACTCCAGTAAAGCTTTTATGTGCTGTGTGACTGATTTCTTAGACAAACATACCATATTTCAATGAAAGGCACTCCTTTCCTCACCTTCCAATTTTTGCACATGTGTGCACATGTGTATCTGCATGGTTGTATGTACCTGTCCTTGTATGTACATATTTGTGGGTGTGTTTATGCAGGTACACATATGTGAACCTGAGTGCCAAGGACAGATTTCTACTTTGTGTTTAATCCTGGGTCACTCTCCATCTGATTTTTTTCAGTCGCGGTTTCACACAGAATCTGAAAGCTCACTAAATCCGCTAGAATAGTTGGTGGGTAGCAAGCCCCAGGGATCCTCCTGTTGCTCCAACCCAATGTTAATGTTACAGGTACACATTGCCACACCTGGTTTTTTTGTGGGTGTGAGTAACCTGAACTCAGGTTCTTGTGGCTATGCAGCAAGTATTATACCAATCATGTCCATGCCCCAGCCCCTCATTTCTAATTCTCATGCCAGTCATTTTTTTTCACTAGCTTTATGGTTCTGACCAGAGTACATGGTGCGCTCAAATGTCCTATGAAAGGGGAGGGTTTAGCTCTTTTTCCTTTTACTTCTGTGAATGTTTATGCTATATCACATACAACCAAATTACTAGACTCATACAAATTTATGTCTTCCTTCTAGTTTTTATGTCTATTAATATTTTCTCCCCAAAGAGTAATTGATCTCACACGAATATAAATAATTATCCTTTTGCATTTCTGGCTAGTTATTTTCTATTCTTTAATATTCAAACTCCCTCTTTTATTTTTTCCTTTTTCATTAGTTCTTTGAGAATTTCTTACAGAGTTTATTGATCATATTCATACCTTCCCTGACTTCCTCCCAGATTCATCCCTTTGCATTGTTTTTTTTTTTATTGTTGTTTATCCATGGCCAGAACTGCTTCCCCTGGGGATTGGGAGTTATACGTACCTCTCCTGTCTCCATGCTTGGATTTTGTTATGCTTGTGCTTACACCCTCCTTGAGCACAGTGTCACAATCACTGTGAGTCCATACATGCAGTTGCTTTCTTGTGTCTGAAGGACTTAGTATCCTTAGAATCATCTGCTATCTTTGGCTTTTACACCTCTTCTATTCTGCCTGCTGTAATGATCCCTGAGCCTTCAGAGGAGAAGTTATGATACTTCATAGAAGTATCCTTTGTAGGGCTGTGCATTCTTCTTATAGTCTTCTTATATTTTACATCTTCGCCAGTGGTCTCTGTGTTAATCACCATCTACTATAAATAGGTTTCCTCTTCTCTGACTATAGTTGACAGATGCACTAATTTCTGACTCTGTGCCACATTTATATTTTACATGATTCCTTTTGAAGCATCATAAGTTTGGTGTAAGGTTTTTATCCAATCTTATCATCTTTGGATATTGTGTTATGGTCCTGACCCATAGGGAAAGACTATAAACTCAATCCAATTATAATTAAAAGATAAATTTATTACTATTTTCAGGACAGCAATCTCTGAGATGAACTTGAGATTGCTGTGGGAATTGGAGTAAGGGAAGAATTTTTAAAGGCAAAAGACCTTGAATATTTACACAAACAAGCCAAGAACTGTTTTGCTCTTCAAGATTATGTAGTCAAGTTGACCAGAACACCTGCACAAGAAAGTTATACAGAAACCTAGAAAGCTGTTAGCCATAACATAACAAGTATATGGTCATGCCTGTATATTTCACAATTGGGAAGCCACCAACTCAGGGTTACTTGGAAATTATATTCCAGGGACTAGAGTACAGACAAATGACTACTGGGCACCAAGATGGACACCTACCATGAAATAGAGTTTCTATACCCATCACATTAGACACAAATGATTATTTTGCTTTTATCAAAATCTTGGACACATGAGAACTAACTCAATGATTTTTTGGTTTCTTTTTTCTCCATTTCTGACTTTTATTATTCAATTTTTCCTCATTTTAAAATTCTATATATATTTAGATGATAAACAATCTTTTTGTTAATTTAGTGTTACCTTAACATTTTTAACAATACTAAATTAGTCTTTACTTCTGGAATTTCAAAATGCAGAATCAAGCTTTCAGCATGAAGATTAACACATTTTCTCTTCCTTACATCATAGAAGATCTTAAGAACACCAACTCTAAGCATTTAGTTTCTTCATTTCTGAAACAGAAAAGACAAAAATTGTAATTTTCCTTATACAATGTCTGTTTATATTTGACAGGTGTTTGACAGCTGCTGTTTCCACCACCCCACGTTATAATTTAGTATTTTATCATGAATTTCACATGGATGATGAGGAAATCAGTTAGAAGTAAATCTTTTTGATGATAGCTAATGAAAATAATTACATATGGAGATTTCTTCTAATTTAATGTTACAGTGTCTCTGGAGATTGACCATAGACAGTATACCCTCTTACCAGAGGAACCTAGACATGTAAGGAAATTAGGTTTGAGTGCACATGGCAGGTGAGACGCAGTACGACAAAACAGGTCTAACAAAACAACAATAAAATTATTATTCAAATCAACAAGATAAAGAGGTGCCTGTAAGAGTCAAAGGAAAAATTTGGGATGACAGGGCTTAACTTTTTGGCAGTGAAATGGAAGGGTTGAAAGAGCTTATAAGACCAGGCTTATTAAATACATAGGCTTCTCCTTAGATCGTGATGGGCTAGCTGAAAGAACACACTATCTAAACTTGAAAAAGAAACACATTTACCAGATTCTGCTATTTAGTGAGAAGTTATTTTATGGCCAGCCACTGTGGCTGTATTGGGTTTGGGACCAGTTGGATGAGGAACAAACAAGACTGTGTTATAGTCACACAAAGGAGGAGGTTAACTGGAACCAAAGTGATTCATTGCTAATTTTCTACTAACTTATGTCAGGCCATGGCAGGAACTGGTCAGGGGAACTTATAACACTTATTTTTGCTTGTTATATTTTAATAATTTAAAGAGAATTTATTATTATAAGTTATAAGATTTGTTTTGTTTGATGGCACACACCTTTAAATTCCAGCACTCCGGAGGCAGAGGCAGGCAAATCTGTGTGAGTTCAAGGCCAACCTGATCTCCAGAGCAGGTGCCAAGATAGGCTCCAAACCTACACAGAGAAACCCTGCCTCGAAAAACCAAAAAAAAAAAAAAAAAAAAAACTTGTTTTCAGAATGATTTTACAATTCTACATGAATTGTATATTTAGTAAGAATTTATTACAACTTATACTGCAAATTTGTAAAATCATTTTTTAAAAACTATGAGTTTTCTCCCACTATACATTGAAACTACTCATTTACAAATTTTTGGTGTCACATTGATACAAGGAGAGTCAACTAGAAGGACAATGTTGATTTTCTCCAGGGTGTTTTTGACTTTCACTGGCTGCATTTTAGATCTCACCATTTGCTTTGATTTTAGTCTTCTTTCTAATGCATGTAGATGTCAGTTTACTATAACGAAGTCCTCACAAACATCTGTTCTTGCAGCTTTATGTAACTCACTATAGAAAACTGGTCAATTGCTTAGCATTGGTCTCAGAAAATATGAGATCACGAATTATCATCATCACCACCATCATCATTGTCATTATTATTGCCAAATCTATGGTTATTCTTCACTTTCAGTCTTACTCATGGTAGCTCCTAGTGCAGAAATTCCATTTGTTTTCCTCCAGTTTAGTCAGAACCTGGAAACAGAAGAGAGTTCAGTGGATAGTCAGCTGAACTGTGAATAGGTGTCTCAAAAAACAAACAAACAAAGGCAAGTAAAGTGGGGATAGAAAAGCACTTCTTGACATACTGAAGAATTGAAGAATACCAGGCATTTTGGTACACACCCGAACATATTTTATATCTGCAAATTTCACAGCAATCTTATCCTGGTCAAATAAACATCATATATGCATGCTGGCGGAGGAGTACACAAGCAATTGCAAAGAGTAGTCCACCATCTTTGTGTAACTGGAGTTTATCAATTCCCATTATCTCCTTGGAAGCCCATTAGAAACTAGGTTAATAAGATAAAATTACTATTAATAATAATAGCAATTATCAGTACTATCAAGGAATTACTAATCTATTATCCCTAGAAAGCATCATAACTAATATTCACACCCATGTCCATACCATTTATATGAACTATTAATTTTCCACATAACAGTAAAAGCAGTTGATTCAATAGCCATTTGTTTTCAATAAAAATACAGTTTTACTCATATGGTGATTATATCATAATTAAGAGACAACCATGGTATAACATTGCCAGCAAACACACATGCTCCTGTTGAGTTTTTTCAAGGAAAAATAAGTCATGGCAGATTAATAGAGAAAGGGCAAAAGACATGTGTCACTTAGAGCATCATCAGGAAGACAGTTCCAAGGAGGTGGCACTTAGCAGAGGCTTCATGGACACAGGAGAAGGGTTCCATGAATTTCAGAGGAGAGATTTCTGGGCAGCTACAGTGAGTAACTGCTGCAAATCTTTAAAATCAAATGCAAACACAGAGGACCCTGGCTGCATCTCAGAGAGCAACAGCAACGGAAGGAAGGGAATGGGTACTCAAGGACCATCTGGGTAGAACCCACAGTGAAAAGTCACTCAACTTGAATATAATGGAAACACAGTGGAAGATTGGGTCAGGCTGAAGTCATGTGTTTAAAAGGTCAAATGATTATTGTGGAATTCCTATAGGTTACAGGCTGGACATGAGCTGAAGATTAGAAAACTACTTCATGCAATGCCAGCATCCAGGTGGGAGAGATGGTGGTGTGTACCAGGAAGCAAGCAATCGGGGTGGTGAGAAGGGATATGAGACTCAGTACATTTTCCATGGTGGAACTTGAATGCTCACTACAAAGTTGAGAGAGAAAAACCTGTCAGAGAAGCCCACAGCTTCACTGTGAGGAATGAAGAGCGGAAAATCAGCTTTCTAATACAACCGAGGACTACCTACCCAGGTGTAGTACTCCTGCATTAATCACTAATCAGAAAAAAATGTCCTATAGGCTTGCCTACAGGCAATCTTACCTATCTGTTTCCTCAGTTGGGATTTTATCTTCCCAAATGACAAAAAAAATTTAACTGGGCCATCTATCATCTTCTGTAATCTGCTCATTCAGTAATGATTAGAGAGAAAATGAAATGGTATCTTCTTTCTTACTATAGGAAAACACAAAATAGTCTATGGATATGCAATTCTGTAACAAGGCTTCAGCTAAGCTTTATACTTCTAGTCAGGGTTCTCTATTATAAGCAGATTGAAACTTGCCTACAAATTTACAGCCCTTTTCACTTTTTCACTGAGTTCATATGTATCAGTTAGTACCTCCTTGTATAGCAAGCAGTCTCAAATAGGACTAATCACAGTTATTGTCCATAATGTACGGATCAGTTCAGTGGCTCTTACATGCATAGGTGGACAGCTAGCTGACTGTTATGAAATCAATGAGTTTTTTAAAGACACAGTTTTCTTCTCATATTATCTCCCTCTCCAGCAAACCAGCTGGCTTTTCACATAGTGTTTCTAATGTCCCGAGAGAGAACATAAGCAGATAGATCTGGTGGAGTCAAGGAGAGAACTTCCACTGCATTCTGAACTTGCACTTCACCCAGTAACTTCCATTGCATTCTGATGGTAGAGACAAGCCACAAGGCCAAGCCCGCCTCAAGGGGAGGCAAATTACCACAGTATTTGATTGGAATAGCATCACAGCCCCAGGACACACACATGTGATGTGAAACCGAGAGAAGATGGTGATCAGAATTGTTTTGTTAACCTCATCTTTTTTCTGATAGACAGGAATAAAATTCATTTGCCCAAGCACATAAATAAAGACCAGTTAAATTGAGCAGAGTGTGGAAATACCCAGTGAGTTAGCATCGTGCCAGTAGCTATCTGGATTTTCTGTCTTGTTCATATCGTTGGCCCGGCTACTTTTCCCACACTTTCTCTAGACTTCTTAAAGACAGCTTCTATGAAAGAATGAAGTAAAGATATCAGACTATCTTCCCTTGATAAAGATAAGTAGACATGGAATTATTACCTTTGTATTATTGAGGCAGAGTGCAAAATAATTCTTGAATCATGCATCTCTATTTATAGCCTAAAGCAAAGGTCAGCTTATGGTAAACCAGACTTCCTTCCTCATTAACAGACAAAATCACTGGTGTACAAGAATTAGGTCTTGGAAGACTATTTTTAAAAAAGCTTAGCCATTTCTTTCATTGTAGTAGTGAGGCAATTTGATCCACATGCATACTTTGAGTTGTAAAGATGATCCAAGTACAGTTTTAATCAGAGCTTTCTATTACTGCAACAAAATACCTGACAGAAAGACTTTGGGGGTAATTTTTGGTTCTTAGTATAAGACTTATTTGTTAATTTAGACAAAAATCTTTGAAATTGAGTATTCCTCCTCCTTTTAAAATCATGCTTGTTCCTGCTATCTAATTGTGATGACTGCCTAACCATGAAGCTTGTGTGTTTGTCAAGTGAAACAGATGTCACTGTGTGAAAATGAGTGAGTTAGTCACAGGCACACAGTGGTTCCTGATGAAGCTTGTTCTTGACCATGGGTTCCAGGTCAAGTTTTGTCCTGGGAGAGGAATTATTGCAGGAGAATTATGGAATTTACAAGAGAGTTTACTGTGCAATGGTTTTAAAAATGGTCAAACTCACTATTGACAACACTGTCTAAGGGTTTCCACCATGTGCTAAAACACCATGACCAAAGGCAACTTGAGAAGGAAATGGTTTGTCTCACAGCTCCTAAGTCACATTCCATCAGTGAATGAAGTCACGGCAGGAACTCAAACAATTCAGGGACCTGGAGGCAGGAGCTGAAGCAGAGGCCTCAAAAGTGTGCTGCTTACAGGTTTGGTCTTCATGGCTTTCAGAGACTGCTTTCTCGTGCACCCTAGGATCATCTACTGTGTGGTGGCACTGCCCACAATGGGATGGGTCCTACCACATCAATCACTAATTTAAAAAATATACCACAGGCTTGCTCACAGGCCAATCTGCTGGGAGTATTCTCTCAATTGATGTTCCCTCTTCTCAAATGATTCTAACTTTTGTCAAGTTGACATAAAAAAAATAGTCAAAAAAATTGACCCTTTGTCAACTTGGCACAAAACCCCATCACTATTAAACCATAACCTTTCCTTTCTTCTTCATCCCCAAGATCTCATACTAATGTTATATCACAATTTAACACATTCCAACTTTTAAAAGTCCCACCAGTCTTTAAAAATTTGAGCACTTTGAATTTCAGTCTCATTAAAACATGCAAAGTCTCTTTCAAAATTCAAAGCTTCTCTAAAGCATCCACGACCTCTTTAAAATTCCAAAGGTTCTCAAATGTGGGCTCCTATGACATTAAAATCAGGTTCCATACTTTCTTATTCCAAGAAGAAAAAAAGACTCTGGACACAGTTACATAACATCAAAGCAAAGTCTAACAGCTCAGTGTCAGATTTGTGAGCCTTATGCTCTTCTAGTCCACTAAAGGTCCACATAGAGCACGCATAATGTGTCTCATAGTTCAGGCTGGCTCCGCTCCACAGTTGCTGCTGTCCTTTTAGGGTTGTCCCATGTTCAAAACTTTGGGAGTCTCTGTTGCAACTAGGCTACACCTTTACTCATTGGCTTTCTTCAGGGAACCAAGTATCATGTTACCATAGGAACCTGAAACTTGGGGAGTATTTGACTATGATTCCAATTGAAAGTTTCCTCCTATGAACTACATCTCCTAGGTTTTCTACGTTGTCTTAAAGTGAGGTGTGTCTTCTTATGCATGAACTGTACAAAGATCTTTTTTTTTAGTTAACAAAATTCTTATTTTACAAATCAATCTCAGTTCCCTCTCTCTTCCATCCTCATGTGCCCCTCACTGACCCCCTCTATCCCACCTCCCATCCACTCCCTAGTGAGGATGAGGCCTTCCGTGGGGGAATCATCAAAGTCTGTCACATCATTTGGGGGAGACCCCTCCGTCATGTATCTGTGCTGAGAGAGTATCCCTCCATGGTGAATGGGTTCCCAAAGTCCATTTGTACACTAGGAATAAATACTGGTTCCACTGTCAGAGGTCCTATAGACTGCCTGGGGCACCTAACTGGCACCCTCATTCAGAATCTTCGTTCAGTCCAATCCTGGTTTCCCAGATTTATAACTGGGGTCCGTGTGCTCTCACTTGCTCAGGTCAGCTGTTTCTGTGGGTTTCTCCAGCCTGGTCTTGACCCCTTTGCTCATCCCTCTTCCCTCTCTTCAACTGGATTCCAGGAGTTTGGCCCAGTGCTTAGCTGTGGGTGTCTTTTTCTGCTTCCATCAGCTACGGATGAAGGCTCTAGGGTGGCATTTAAGGTAGTCATTAATCTCATTATAAGGGAAGGACATTTAAGGTAGCCTCTCCACTATTGCTTAGATTCTTAGTTGGTGTCATCCTTGTGGATCTCTAGACATTTCCCTAGTGCCATATTTCTCTTTAAACCTATAATGGCTCCATCTATTAAGGTATTTCTTTTCTTGCTCTTCCCTATTCTTCCTCTGACTCCGTCTTCCTGATCCCTCATGTTTTCCTCCCCCCTCCTCTTTCCCCTTCTCTTTTTTCTCCCTCCTTACCCCTCTGTGATCCCAGTTTTCTCAGGAGTTCTTGTCCTTTTCCCCTTCTCCAGAGAACCATGTATGTCTCTCATAGGGTCCTCCCTGTTTCCTCATTTCTCTGGAGGTGTGGATTGTAGGCTGGTAGTCCTTTGCTCTGTGTCTAATATCCATATATGAGTGACTGTACAAAGATCTTGTGAGTGCTATTTCCATCCACCGTGTCTCACTTATTTTGCATGCTCTAGTACCCCTTCCGCACCCCTTGTGATGAAAACTGTTCTGCGTCCATGCTTATCATGCTGCCATGTCCCTTCCTTGAGCCCTGAGCTATCTTGGAATAAAAGTTTCCAAGAAGCCCAGTTAAGGGCTCTGGGGAAATGCCTGGAGTTCCCTGGTTCTGCTGAACACGGAATGCTACTTCAGCTCTTCCTCATCAGTCACTTGCAGGGCACAACAACCTTCTCCTCTTAATTTCTGCTTGGTGCTTGGTATTTAAACCATTGCCTAGGAAATGAGGGTGTTTTACCAAAAGTGGAGCGGTAATCCTCTCTCTATTACTCTCTTATAAACACATAAGCATGGCATGCTGCAGTCAAAATTGAAAATTAGGAAGAAGCTTAAAAATAGAAAAAGCTTAGGAAAGGTAAGAAAAAAATACAAAGTGCCCTTAATGTTTACAAAGTACATCCACCTTGATATAATTGAAATCCATGCATTATGGGCAAGTCCAGGATATGACGGGCCTAAGACAAGGTCTAGCCTAATAACTGAGTAGCAAAGATGTCTTCCTCTGATAGAAGGCAGCTCAGTCACAACAGGAAAATCCAGAGCTCTACTGCTGGAGTCCGTCCTTTGTCCTTTTGACTTGATGTAAGAAATGATCCAACCTTTATGTTGAGTCCAAAGGGGAAATATGAGGAATGTGAGACTAAAGAATCTCCCTCCCACCACCTAGTGGTTTTGTGGTGATTAAACAACTTCAGGAATTTAGTAGATTTGAGTTTTTTAATAACTTTTATCTGTTATGGTCCATTCCTAACACTACTATTATGGAGTTATTCCCCACCATACTATTTTCAATGCAAAAATATTAAAATCTGGGGGGAGGAGATAACCCAAATGACTCTGACTATGGGAATGAGTAAACCAGTTGGTGTAGAAATAGATCAGGAACTGTCATATTGGATGAATGAGAACCACGTGCGTCAACCAGGATGGTGGAATTAATAGTGGGGGATAGGCATTTTAAAAACTAGGGTAGAGCATATCCTCTCCCCTCCCATAAATATGGACTCAATGAATAAAAGCTACTTTAAAAGAAGAAAGGTTGGGGCCTCATCCCAAGTTGTACAGCAGAACACTAGTGATAGCCTTCCCTGCCCCACCTGCACCCCCATCTCCTTTGGGTCCCACAGATCTTCCACTACTAACCATGCTCCACCACCTTGTTGCTTTGTCCCAAACCCCAAAGCCAGAAGGTACCTACTGCTAACCCAAGGGCTACTCCTCTAATAGCAATAAGTGTGCTGAAGGTGGAAACACATCTCTCCTCTCCTACTTGTTCCTGAGATCCAACACCCATCTATCCCGAGTCTCATACCTAGCTCTGCAACAGGAAACCCACTGTGGTCTCCCTTCCCTTTCTGACTCCATCACAAATGGATCACAAAAATCTTCTCCTCTAACTTCCTTTCCCCCAACTCATCCCACCATCCCAGCCTCCAACACCAACAGACATTCACTGGGAACACACCAGCTAAGCAGAACCGTGAGATAGGTAAGCTAAGTGAAGACCCTCACCACTTCCTGCTCCCCTCCAAACCCAATCCCTCAGTCTCATCCTTAACATTGCAACAGAACACCAGCTGCAGCCTTTCCTTCCCCCTTCCCATATCCCCAATGAATCCTACAGACTATACCCTCCCTTCCCCTACTCCATCAGGAACCCCCTACTAGCCCATAGGCCACAACTGGAAGAAACCAAGTAGGCTATCCTCAGACCTTCTCCTCTCTCTCTGTTCCCCTAAATATAATCCCAGTCTCATCCCCAGCTCAGCATCAAAACACCTGTGGCAGCTTTCCCTTGTATAATTCAGTAAAAATGAAATACACAGAATACACAAACTTATGGGACACAATGCTAAAAGAAAAGTTCATAGCACTAAGTGCCTACATAAAAAAAAAAAAATTGAGAGATCTCATACAAGCAACTTTACAGTACACCTGAGAGGTCTAGAGCAAAAAGAAGCAGCACACCCAAAAGGAGTAGATGGCAGAAAATAATCAAACTGAGGGCTAAAATCAACAAAATAAAAACAAAGAGAAGAATACAAAGAATTAATGAAACAAAGAGTTGGTTCTTTGAGAAAAATCAGCAAAATTGACAAACCCTTACTCAAACTAACTAAAAGGCAGAAAGAGAATATCAAAATGTTAAAAATCAGAACTCAAAAGGAAGCATAACAGACAGTGATGAAATCCAAAGACTCATTAGGTCATACTTCAAAAGCTTGCACTCCACAAAACTGGAAAATCTAAAAGAAATGGATAATTTTCTCAATAGATACCACTTACTACCACTTACTTACCAATGTTAAATCAAGATCAGTTAAATAATTTAAATAGATACATAGCCCACAAGAAAATAGAAGCAGTCATTAAAAGTGTTCCAACAAATAAAAGCCCAGGGCCAGATGGTTTTAATACATAATTCTACCAGAATTTCAAAGAAAAGCTAATGCCAATACTACTCAAATCATTCCACAAAGTGGAAACAGAAGAAACATAGTACAATTTATTTTATGAGGTCACAATTTTGCTGATAACAAAACCATATAAAGACTCAACAAGGAAAGAGAATTTCAGACCAATTAGCCTTAGAACATAGATGCAAAAATATTCAATAAAATACTTGCAGGAATGTATTAAGAAGATAATGCACCATGATCAAGTAGACTTCATTGTTGTGAAATATTTGTACACTGTGTGAAGATGTGTTGCTGTGACTAGTGTGATAAAAAGCTGAATGGCCAGTAGCTAGGCAGGAAAGGTAGGACTTCTGGGCAGAGAGAGAGAGGAAGTCAGAGAGATGAATCTAAGCATGCAGGGGATACCAGTGGGATGCAGAACAAGTTGGACATATGGGAAAAAGAAATGGTAGAGTGTATATTAATAGAAATAGGTTAATTAAGTTGTCAGATCTAGTTAGAAGAAAGCCTAAGTTAAGGCCAAGCTTTCATAATAATAATTAGAGTACATGTTGTTATTTGAAGGTTGGTGGTCCCAACCAGAAGATACTTTATCTCAGAGATTCAATATACAAAAATCAGTAAATGGATCCACCATAATAAACAAGCTAAAAGGAAAAAAAAAACATGATTATCTCACTAGATGTCAAAAAAGCCTTTGAGAAAATCCAACACCCTTCATGATTAAAGAAGTCAGGGATACAAAAGAAATACCTAAACATAATAAAGGCAATTTACAGCAATCACATAGCCAACATCAAATTAGGTAGAAAGCAACTCAAACCAATTCCACTAAAATCAGGAACAAGACAAGGTTGTCTACTTTCTATATATCCATTCAATATGGCACTTGAATTTTTAACAAGAACTGAAGGAGATCAAGGAAATACAAATTGAAAAGAAGAAATCAAAGTATTGTTATTTGCAGATGATATGATAGTTTACATAACTGACTCTAAAAATTCCCCCAAGGAACTTCTACAGCTGATAAACATTTTCAGTAAAGAAGCTGGATATGAGGGTGTATGGAGCAGGGGCCAGGTGGAGGGTTAGGGAGAGGGCTGGGGGAGGGGAGGGAGAAGGGATTGACATGTGAAGCAAGCTTGTTCCTAATTTGAACTAATAAAAGAATAAGAAAAAAAAGAAGCTGGATACAATATTAACAACAGCCAAGTAGCCCTCCTATATACAAATGACAAATGGACTGAGAAAGAAATCAGGGAAACAACACCTTTCACAATAGCCTCAAATAATATAAAATATTGTGGGGTAACTCTAACCAAGCAAGTGAAAGACTTGTATAGTAAAAACTTCAAGTGTTTGAAGAAAAAAATTAAAGAAGATAGCAGAATATGGAAAGATTGCCCATGCTCATGGATCAATAAGATTAACATAATAAAAATGGCCAGCCTACCAAAAGTAATGTACAGATTCAAGGCAATCATCATCAAAATTCTACCACAAATCTTTTTGGACTGTGAAAGAATAATTCTCAACTTCATATAGAAAAACGAAAAACACAGTATATCTAAAATGATCTTGAACAATAAAAGAACTTCTACCATTCCCAATTTCAAGTTGTATTACAGAGCAATACTAATAAAAAATGCATTGCTTTGGCATAATAACAGACACATTGATCAATGGCATCTAATTGAAGAATCAGACATTAATCTAATTGAAGACTCAGGCATTGATGTCCATATATGGACACCAGATTTTTGATAAAGAATCCAGAAATAAACACTGGAAAAAAGAAAGCATTTTCAACAAATGGTGCTGTTCAAATGGAGACTTTACTTTATATTCTAGTCTCTTTGGTGTGGGAAAACACTCTGCAGGCTCCCAAAAGAGAAACATGTACACCAACCCAGCCAAAAACCTTTGACCTACAGTCTGTCCTGCCTACATAACATGCTAGAGCAATGGTGGCACAGAACTTATGAAAGTAGTGAACCAATGTTTGATTTGATTTAAGGCTCACTCCATAATATGGAATTGACACCAGAGTAGATAGCCTAGAGACCTAGGGTAACACCAAACACTATTGCTCTGAAAAAAAAAAAAAACTTCAATAAAATGACTGCTAATGATATTTACCTTTTTTAGTCATCACCAGAGAAGATTCCTCTGGTGGCAGATGCAAACAAATGCAAAGACCCATAACAGACATTATGTGATGAAAGTCTAAATAGGATGTTTCCATCAAATCCCTTCCCTCAGAGCTCAGGGAATCCTGTGGAAGGGGAGAAAGAAAGAGTGTAAGAGCCAGAGGGGATGGAGAACCAAAGACTGAAGCAGCAAGCACAGGGCCCATGTGGGTCTGCCCCAATTAGCTTAGTATTTTTATGGTATCCCTGAGTGTGACAAAGAGTGGTTCTCTGACTCTTATGCCTGCACCTGCGGCTCTTTTTCCTCCTGCTGGCTTACTGTGTTCAACTTTCACACAATAGCTTTTTCTTTATTTTATTCTATTTTATTTTGTCAAGTTTGGTTATCTCTTAGAAGCCTGTTCTTTTCAAATGGGAGACAGAAAAAGAGTAGACCCAGAGGGGAGGGGATGTGGAAGGAAACTGGGGGAAGTACAGGGAGAAGAAGCTATAATCAGGATATATTATATGATCTGTGAGAAAATAATCTATTTTTAGTAAAAGGGAAAATAAAAATAAGACAGGTTGAAAGAATACAAGCTAAGCTTTACTAGTCACTCTTCCTAGTCATCTGTCTCCCTCTTTCTTATAATCTTAGAAAGTTAGAAACTTCAATTATCTTTTTTTTTTCTTCAACAAAAAATTTGTAAGCAGAATGTCTGTATGTTTAGTGCCTATGTAGGTCCAGCTTGCTTCATAGTTTGATGATCTCATGTATTTGGCACAGGGTGGAAAGTTTCATGCTGCAGACCCAATGTGCTTGGAGGTTCCAGTGTAAGAGCTAGGGGAAAAACAAAAAAACAAAAACAAACAAACAAACAAACAAAAAAAAACAGGCTGGACATCATTATGTAAAGTGCAGCAAACCAGATGCAGAGAGACAACCACGGCTTGTTTTCCTCATTACTGACCTAGATTAAACTGTGTGAGTAGATGGGGCGGGGCCTGAGATGCAAAACAGGACCACTAGAGGGAAGGAGCAGATCTTCAGGGAGTTAGGGAGAGGATAATGAAAAACATGTAGCCAAAATGCAGAAGGAGCAAGCATAGGACCTACAATAATAGTGTGGGGAGGAAGGAGAGTGTGTGTGTGTGTGTGTGTGTGTGTGTGTGTGTGTGTGTGTGTGTAACTATACACATGGAAATATATACACTTGAAAGTGCTAAAGGAAATCCATTCAGTAAATAGGGAGAAAGAAACAAGCTGATGAAACAATGGAAAGGTCGCATAAAATGCTCAAGGGCTGACTTCAATCCCTAACACGACATGAAAACAAAACAAGCAAGGAATAAACAAATCAAGACCCGATGCTCCTTCAATGTTAACTAAGAATCTATGGATTCTTTTATTCACCATACAGTGCGCTGTCAAAGTGAGGTGAGTGCTACAGTCATTTCTCAGGAAGGTTGCAGTCACTGGTGAAAGTTTGTTTATAAGACGGGAGTTCACTTCAGGTGCCCTTCCTGTTTTCTGGGATGCATGCAAATCACAAACCGAGAACCACAGGAAGGAATTTCTGAGTGAGCTCGGCTCTTAGGCAGTCCAAACATGCTCAAATGGCTTCCGGAATCCATCCTAGTTTCTCCACAGGAACAGGCTGCAAAGCTTGAGGACCCGAACAGGAACTTGGGGAAAGGGTGTCACCAAGAGAGAACGTCCAGGTGCGGCCAGGAAGGTTGGGTCGTTGAGAAAACTGGGAAAAGATTGGCTCAAGCCTAGGGAAATGAGAATCGGGTTTCAGAAGAGGTTGCCGCCAGGCCAGAAAGACGGAAGTGAACATATCTGGGCTGAGGAGTCGGCAGGGGGAGAGATGGGCGGAGTCCTGTGGGGACTGGGAGGGCATAGCCAAGGGGCTGGTCCATTCTGGGAAGCACAGGTTGCCCCAGCTCAGATCCTCATTCCCCAGGAGAGCCTGTTCAGGTACCAGCCATGCTCGCCGCCACGGGCTCCCTGGTGGCCGCCATCTGGGCAGCGCTCCATCTCCAGACTCTGCTGCTAGCTGCTGTTGTCTTCCTGTTCCTGGCTGACTATTTCAAAAACCGGCGCCCCAAAAACTATCCGCCAGGGCCGAGACGCCTGCCGTTTTTTGGGTGCTTGTTCTATTTGGACCCAAAGCAGCCCCACATAGCCTTACAGAAGGTAGGAAGAGGCCAGAGTGCTTGGTTGTGTCCCGGGACAGGATCCTGGCACCTCGAAGGGGAGGACATGGTTGTAGGCTCAGGCTGGCAGCCTGATAACCCAGAGGGAGATAAGATATTCAGATTTCCAAAGAGTTGGGAGATTTTCTTGTTATCTGTGGACGTTAAGATTTCCAGTATACTTTTATGGCCTGGGAACATATTGTGTATGATTTTAATTCTTTTAAGGATGTCAAGGTGGATTGGATAACATTAATTTAGCCATGCTGGTTTAAGAAAAGGGGTGCTACAGATGTTGCTTAGAGCACCAGTCCACTTTAAAAAAAAATATATGGTCTCCTCTTGACCTGGATGAGTGTCAGTTCTCTTATTTCTCTTATTGAGCCTAATTTGGTCCTTCTACATCCATGCAACTGCTCAACTACTGATTACATCAACCTCAGAGAAAGATGCACTGAAATCTCCAGCTCCACTGGGAGTCTGTCTGTCTTTCCACTCCATTCTGGAAGCTCTGTCCTTGTATCGGAAAGACTGTTGTGTGTACCTAGTACACATGTAAAACTGTCAGGTCTTTCTGGTGAATGACCATCTTCCCATGTAATGTTCCTCGTTATCCACAGTGATTTTCCTCGCTTAGACAGTGGATACTCCAGCTGTGTTTAATTATCCCTGTCACTTTCCATTACATGTGAAGATTGACCATGGTTGTGTGGCTGATTATTTATTGCTATTTAAGGATCTAACCCCATAATTTTTTCTTCTTTGTTCCCACATCCTTTTCTTCCATTATCCCTTCCATGTGTGTTTCTTGGATACTTTCTGAGTGGTTGCGGACTCCTCCTTCTCCTCCTCCTCCTCCTCCTCCTCCTCCTCCTCCTCCTCCTCCTCCTCCTCCTTCTCTTCTCTCTCTTTACATCTCTTTTACTGTCCTCCCGCAGCTGCTCTGTGTTACTCAGTGTGCACGTGCAGCCCATGAGACTTTGCTAACACCACTTTCCATGTGAAGTGAAGCTACTACAAACACGGAGGAACCTTCTCCCCTCTATTACACACTGTCTCAGCTGTTGTCCCCACACACTGAGACCCACATCAGACACTGCCCTGCTCTCCAGTGTCCAGTGCAGCCGGAACTCCAAGGCAGAGGAAATCTGCCGCTTTGCCCCTTACTCATCCTCCCATTGCTGTCTTTTTCTCTGCCCTTCCGGGGTCACAGTTTCCTTTCTGACCACAAGTGTTTTCTTTCTCATTCCTGCAGAGGAGACTGCACAAATGTGGCAAAGGAGGAACAGAGCCCTTCTGTTTGATACCTCTGTTGAAGCTACATGTGACTCAGAAGGACAAAAGGCTGAAATGGAATCCTCAAAAGCTAACTCTTGATCATATGGGGGGAAGAAACTTTGCTACTCCTCACACAGTCATTCAATTCTATTTGCACAAGCATGGACATTCTCTTCCCTTCTCTCTGTTTCCCTCTTCTTCTTCTTCTTCTTCAACCAAACTCTCCACTCCTTACACTCAGGCCTGCTTCCCACCCTGTAACTTTCACTAAACTCCAAGGTCATTTGAATATTTCAAAATCAGATCTTTTTTTTTTTTCCCCTCAACATTATGTAACATGTGGAGATTCTTTCTGCCAAGCAACAACTTTGTCTTCTTGGCTACACTACTTCACATCCAACTTGTTTTCCTTGTTGGGAAGATGGGAAATGCTCATTATGGTGTGGAGTTTTAGTGTTGATAAAATACAGCACGATAAATGGCATTCCTTTCCTCAGTGAGTTCTGTCTATAGCCAGAGACTCACCTGCTCTGTCGTCCTTATCCTCACATGCTTTTCATATAAACAGCTGGCTAATTTCCCAGAGATGTGGAGGGTAGCTGAGTGCCTAGAAGGAGAAAACAAAGTGACTTGCACAGTTCTACTTTCATTCTTCCTAATAGAACCCAATGCAGGATGGATTTATTTTTTAACCTTTCATACTAAGGTTCTAGGTTTCAAAAGATAGAGCTTAACTTCCCCAAGAGTACAAAGACAATTAACCATAGAACCTACATGCTTGCACCACTCCAGAGCTACAGGGAAGTCTCCACTCCCGGCCTCCACCCTTTATTGCACTCTCCATATCTAACAGGATATGGGGAAGACACAATCCTCTGGGTAAGCACATTTTAATGTATTAATAATTCCATGCTTGCTATAGTAGACTTCAAGAAACACTCTCAGCCTTTTGCAGGTTAGGAACAGAACACTCTGCTTCCATTGGCCTGCAGGATGCTTCAGTTTAGAAACACTGATTTCTTTAAAACATTTATGACCTCATAACCCAATCCAGGGACACCTTATGCTCATTTAATTCAAATCAATCGACTGAACCCATGAGTGAAATTTTATGAGGAAATTCTTAAAGTAGATAAGAGAAGGAAAAACTGGAAACATTCTCATTACACAAAAATGCTTCCTCCCCACACAAATACTCCACACACTGTTTCTCACAGTGTTAGTTGCATTGGTTACACAACAATCTCATGTATATAGCAAGATGCTGAAGGAATTATTCTGTGGATAAAGAGGGATACTTTTAAAGCTACACCAAACATGTACAAACCTTCCATAGTCTTTTCCCTCCATTCTCTGCCTTCATTAAAATTCAGGATACTTCTGTTTAGAGACTGTGCCTTATTTATTGCTACATATATCCTCATGCCTTCCTCTAGGTACACCAGCTAACTGCATATATAATTCATATTTGCTGAATTCTTTAGGTATTTTATAAAGGGAAATTTCTATTTTTAGTGTGTATTGAAATTGAGCTTAATATAGAAGAAGGGAAAAATTTCAAACATTTACACAAAGGAAGATGCTTGCCTCCAGTAACAGTCTTTGTACACATCTCAAATTGAGTCCCATTGGCCACACACATGCCTGCCATTTCTGGACACACAGACGTGGGCCCACTCAATTGTAACTGCTGAAATATTTTTCAGTTTGTGAAGAAATATGGGAACGTTTTAAGCTTGGATTTTGCTAATATACCCTCAGTGGTTGTCAGTGGCATGCCCTTAATCAAGGAAGTCTTTACTCAATTGGAGCCAAACTTTCTGAATCGTCCTGTCACTCTTCTTCGACAACATCTCTTTAGTAAAAATGGTAAGTTCCTTGAGTGATGTCTGGTGTGTACTGTAATTCTTGTGACATGGTAAAGGTGCCTGTCTGTAACTTGACAATCCTCCCATAGACCAACCCCATCATGAATCGCCATCTTCCAAGGATGAGGACACAATATTTGAGGACTTACTATGTCTCTCTACTTGGGAGACATCATGTATCCTGTACACTAACTCTTTGATGCTCTGACGGAATGCCCACCCAGAGACATTGTGCTTTCACTTCCATTTTCCCACCCCAACCCTCTGCCCTAGGAAAATAGATGTGAGTCAGCCTCCTCTTGCTGCTGCTCTTCTTGATATTAACTCTTCATACTCCATCATGAAATGGTATCACCCAGTGGTCTTTTGCCTTCAGACCAATAATATAACACACTAGTTTGAATACTTATTATTATCATTTCAAAAGTAACAATCAGGAGGCTAAGACTTACATGAAAAGTATTTGAGAATATCTCTGAAAATTACCAGTTGATGGCCGTATCCATTGTATATGCTGTGATGGTTGATAGGTGCTGAGTATACCAGAAGGTTCTTCCTCCTAGTCTCTAGGGTCTCTGTGTGTGGGATACTCATCCTCTCTACTTTCTTGAGTCATTTATTCATTCTTTGCCATGTGCCTTGGCTAGAACCTCTTCTATAAAGCTTTCTTACCCCGTTAAAAGTGCATGTCTTAGCCATGAGTACATTCCTGTTATCCGGCTTAACATGAATTCATGTGATTTGTATGATCAAAAGCATTGAACTGGGAGACTGAAACATGAATACATGGCTGCTATCTACTAGCTACATTTCTTTATAAAGTAGACTTTATCCCAATGTCTCAGCTTTTGCATCAGGTGCAATGGGCCTAGAGTGAATAGTTAATAAGTGTATGGAATTTCTGAAAGAGTTAGATCACACAGAACACAAGGAATATTAAATTGTTTGTTGTTGTAAGTAATCAGTAAATCTTAGTTCCCTTGCTTTGGGGTTGTCTCTCTACATAGTTACCAAGTGCCTTATTGGCCCATCTCCTTTCAATTGTACATGTGCTCATCAAGTTTGTCAGGTGATTTTAGATCACAATCATAACGCCATAACGCTGTATCAATTCTTTCCAGGGTTGATCTTCTCCAGCGGCCAGACATGGAAGGAACAAAGAAGGTTCACCCTAATGACACTGAGGAACTTTGGGTTGGGAAAGAAGAGCTTAGAGCAGCGCATACAGGAGGAAGCCCAACACCTTGTGGACGCCATAGGAGAGGAGGGAGGTGGGTATTTCACAGGGCAGATGCTGGGGCTTGTGGCCTTACATTTGTTGAACAGATTTTTATTAAGTGTTTGTTTGTCCCAGGCCAGCTCTGTTCTAGGCACTTGTGATATTTTGTTTATGATCTAATAAAGCTCGCCTGAAGATCAGAGTGCATAGATAAGCCACTAGTTAGCCATAGAGGACAGGAAGTGGTGGCCACACCTTAATCCAGCACTCAGGAGACAGAGGCAGATGGATCTCTGTGAGTTCAAGGTCACCCTGGGCTACATGGAGTGAATCAATCTAAAAGAGAAACAGCTCACACCTTTATCCCAGCACTTATGATGACACACCTTCAAGCCCAGCACTAGAGAGGAATATAAGGGGCGAAGACAGGAGCTCCATGCAGTCTGAGGTTTGGTGGAGACAGATGCAGTCTGGAGATGCAATCTGAGGACAGGATCACCCTTTAAGTCTGGGCATTGGTAGAGGTGAGAACTCTCTAGAGGCTGGTAGCTTTGCTTCTCTGATCTGCAGGCAAGCTTTATTTGTTAGATCATAAGCAAAGTACCATCACAGGCACTGAAGACTGAACAGTGAACTTATACTACAACTCTGCCCTAGAGGGTTGTAACCTAGCAAACATAATGGGTTATTAAATATTTTGTTGAATTTAAATACTGGTCATCAATCTGATTTACAGCCATTAACAGAAACCTTGGATCATGTCAGCCTCGTTTGTGTGCGATGGCCAGAGCCAAATTATTTCATTCTCTGCATTCTCCGATATTTATATAGGAGGAGGGGAAGCTGGAGGGTTGTTTTTTTAACATTTGGAGTTAATTGTTTTTGTTTTTAGAGAATAGAAATATAAATATCTTTAAACAACCCAGCTCTCTTTCTCCACCTCCAGGACAGCCTTTTGACCCTCACTTCAATGTCAATAATGCAGTTTCCAATATCATTTGCACTGTCACCTTTGGGGAGCGCTTTGAGTATCATGACAGTCAGTTTCAGGAGATGCTGAGGCTACTGGATGAGGTCATGTGTTTGGAGTCATCGTTGATGTGTCAGGCAAGCACTTGAGCTTCTCATTATCTTGGGAAGGGTATTAAAGTGGGACTGATTCAAACAGACAGGCTCTTCCTTTTTGTACTTTAGGGCTTTTGAAGTTAAAATATAATATCTTAGAGTTGAGTTTAACAGAATCATAGGATTATCTCTGTGCATTGCAGTTTTATCAACTTTATAGTTTTGTTTTGTTTTGTTTTGTTTTGTTTTGTTTTGAAACAGGGTTTCTCTGCATAGCTTTGGAACTTGTCCTGGCTCTGTAGACTAGGCTGGCCTCGAACTCATAAAGATTTGCCTGCCTCTGCTTCCTGAGTGCTGGGATTAAAGACACATGCCACCACTTCCTGGAAACTTTATAGTTTTTAAAGTGGTTTTCTTTTAGATTAATTTGTATAGTGAAGGGTGTCATCATGATATCTTCATACATGTACCACTATAATTTTCCTTATTGCTTTCTCTTCCTAATCCTGCTGGTTCCCATTCTCCCTCAGTTATTCTCAGCTCTGATTTCCTATCAGTTGCACTAATTGTACTCCTTTACATAGATTCTATTTTCACACCCCTTAAGTTCTCTTCTATTCTTCTTTTCCTTGACTCTCAAGATCTCTCTTTTAGTATCCTGACCTGTAAATGCAGGTGTCTTGTTGCCTAGATTTCCCATGTTTCTTGTATTTCTGTGTTGCAGTGTTCACAGCTGTTGGTTTGGATACCATTTCTGGAATTTTTTGGAGAATCTTCTCATGGAGCTACCTAGACTTCAAAATTTAATCCATAGTGTCACTCTGTGAGAAGAAAACAAACTGTTATAGTAGCAATAACTTCTTCTCTTGCAAAATATAGAATCACACATGAATTCAGTTGCAGCTCTTTCTTATATCACCAATGACTAAAGAACTGAAACAATGTCCAAACTACTGAATGTGCTATGAAGTTTCAGAGTTATCTACTGTAGAGTTAATATTGTAAATGAATGAGATGCCTGAAGGTGACAGGGAAGGGGAGGGAGGAAATAAGGTGAGATAACATAAAGAGGAAAGGAAAAGGAGGGAGGAAAAGAACGTTACACACAGGAAAAGACTAACATAGAGAGGGGAAACAAAAATCAATTTAACAGCAATAGTAGAAAGGTTCTAAAGTAAGTATCAAAAGAGGAATAACGCCAGGTGCCTTTAATCCCAGCACTCGGGAGGCAGAGGCAGGCGGACCTCTGTGAGTTCGAGGCCAGCCTGGTCTCCAGAGTGAGTGCCAGGATAGGCTCCAAAGCTACACAGAGAAACCCTGT